CCCCTCCCCTGGTCATTGGGACACCCACCCCGCCATCCTTCCCCTCTTTTCCTTTCCCCTTCCCCATCCCGGGAGGGCAGGGGCGCACAACACAGGACACAGGGGTGTTCCCGGAGTCCGGCTGCCAACCTGACAGCCGCGGGCCAGCCTCGCTGGTGGTGTGCCGGGGCTTGCCGAGGGCCAGACCCCATGGCAGAGGTGCGGTGCCCAGGGAGTCAGGACCCCTCGCAGGGTGGGGACTCACGCGCTTTTGTCACCAGGTCGTGATGGGATAGCAGGCTGCGATCAAGACTTCTGCTATTCCTGCCGCCTCTTCCTCCCTCCCATAGGGTTTAATAGTTCTTCTTTATTGCTTTTTAATGGAAAGTTCTTCATCATTCCCAATAATGGGAGGAAGTCTCTCTTCCTCATTCAGTGGTGCCCCTCTATATTTTAGGTATTGGATTAGAAAGCTGTTCTCCTTTTCAAGCTCTCCTCTCTTTCTCAGGTTTCATAACAGTTCCTCTGTAGCTTTGCCCTCTGCATTGTGTTGCTCAGGCTTCATCTCATCCCATAGCTCTGAGATTCTGCCTTCAGTGCTGTACATTTCACTGCCGGGATGAAGGCTTTCCAACACAACATTTATCAGCTTCCCTTTTTTTTTTTTTTTTTTTTTAATTCAGAGACCTCCTAATTCTTTTGAAAGCCATCCAAGAAACAGATTGGGCAGCACTGCCACCATGATTTCAATTACAACCAACTAAAAGTCAGGTTAAACTCTGAATGCTCATTTACTGTGTTAATTTCTCCCCCATTTTATTTGCTTCCTTGCCTACCAGCTTAGCAACATACAGATGTGCGATTTTTAAGGAAAGGGGGGGGGTTGGACTAGATGACCTTTAAAGGTCTCTTCCAACCCAAACGATTCTATAATTCTATGATTCTATAATTCCATGGTCTTCTCCCGGCCTACCTTCTGAAGTTTTCTGAATGGGTACCGCAGTAATGGAAGTCCAAAGTGGTGCTGATTTCAAGGTTAGTTTTCTATGGAAATAATGATTTACGTTGAACCCACTTAGTCTGAAATCTGGACATCTGTGGCATAGATACCCATGCCTGTGCTGTGCAGCCTCATCTACCCTTCTGGTCAATCAGGGAAATTCTCTTCCATATCTTATATATGATAAATAAAGCTCCATAGCTACGCATTCGTCTCCCCAACTACTCTCCAGTTGAAATGTAGGTATCTATATATTCCATATGTTCCAAACCTTGTGTGTGCATGTGTCTATGTGTTTCATTCCTCATTTTTGAACCCGCTGACCACATTCAGCTGAATGTGAGAGGTCGGTAAGACTCTCAAAGACAATTACATTCCTCTAAGTTTAAGAAAAAGAAGGCAGTTGGGTGAAGAGGCTTGCTGGGTAGCCCTTTGTGCCCAGAGCATGGCAAAGGTGGCATTAGGAGTTCGTTTCTTGTTATAGACCCCAAAATCTGCATGTATATGTCACATCAGGGAGAAAAGTTCAACTGGAGCTTGTGTCTTCTTGGCCAGTGCAGTCAGTAAAGCCCACGAGACAGAGCTCTAGGAAATCCGAGTTCATTTATTTGGATGCTCATGAAATAATGGGTTCTCGGGAGTGAGAGTGCTCCTCTACTGCTTTTCATGACGCAGTGAGTGGTTTTGAAGGCCATAAGTGTTTTATAGAAGCAGACTATGTTTTTGTGAGATTTTAATATTTGATTTTTCGGTATTTTTGATAAGGGAAGACTCTTGTATTTCTGTTTCATACACACACACCCCCCAGACACTAATAGGACTTGCTTATTGGGAAAAGTGACAGAAAGAGCAGTTGATAGACGAGTTCCCACAGTTTTCTGGCGATGACAGCGTGCATGCTGTGTAGACACTGCTCCAGAATAAGCAATTTATCTGCTTTCAAACACGAGGAATTATTCTAGAATAAAAATTTCTTTACTGAGCTAGTGAGTCCACTGTAAAAATAACTTTATTCTGGGAAAGAAGTTTTGCACATGGAAGTATATTACCATACCTAGATACATGTTTACTTCACTGGATCTACGTTACTCAATTTTCCTTCATAAACAAAATGCTAACTGTTCTTGGCTCACTCCTTTCCTAGGCTTGCGGCTTTTCTGTTCATGAACACCCATCTTCTGCTCTTACACCAGTGTGTTTGGAAATTGAAGGGAAGCCTTTGTGATTCCTCTATGTGGTTACCAGAAAAAAGTGCAAAATGTATGGCTATGCTGATGACCAGTGTTTTGTAGACCATGTGAGAAAGAATTACTTCAGAGGAGTTTCATTTCGGTTGGTCGGAGAAGGGGAAGAAAGGCACAGCTTTAATGAAAGAGAAATCTCTTTCCTAACAAGCTTTCTGTTGCACGATTTTTCTCCCTCACCACAGTGATGTTCTTCAGAGCATCTTTCATCAAAGACTAGCCTCATAAACATGCTGGTTCTCTTCCTTCTCACTTCATGCCTGGTCTGCATAGACGAGCCCACTAGGTCACTGTGAGGCAGAGCTTCCCAAACACCTCCCTGGAGCAGGCAGACAGAGGAAGACATGGATGGAAGAAGATGGGCAGACATTTGGAAAGGTATAGTTAAATCTTGATATGCAGCAGGAGGACCATTCAAAATCACCATCTAACTGTTGCAAGAAATAATTGTCTTCTCCACTGCTGACCATGTTGGCTACACTAGTGAATTCTTGTGACCCACACATTTATTTCCTTTTGAAGAAAGAAGAGGGGGTACGTGTTTGTCAGGGCCCTGAAGGCGCTACCAGGGCTGCTGGCCTTGCTCAGCCTCCCCGTGGGTCTCTCCCAATTCCTGCCCATGTCCCAGAACCCCATTTCAGCTCAGCCCAGGGCTGTCAGTCCCTGCGCCAGCAACACTAGAGATGCTCCCCTGAGGAAAAGGGAATGATCCTCTTACAGGTTGGCTTCATAGCTATTCCTCACTTGTAGGAGCAGATATTACAAAGAAGCACCAGAAACAGGAGGACATCTTAGTTACTGCAGTGCCAAAATGTAGTGTTAGGTGGTCTGAAAAAGTCTCCTAATATCCCAGTGATGAGTCCAACAAATGGCAAAAAGAAGAAGGTTCTGTTCTAGAAGAGCAAACTCCATCCCAGTGCCCTTTCTATCACCCAAGACCACCAGATAAAAACAAGTCAAACAAAGGCAGCGTCTTGGCCAAGTCTAATATTCTCTTAAAATAAATCACATCAGAAATAGCATCTGGCAATAGTATAGCCCACCACAGTTCAGACCAAGTCTGGTCTGGATTAGGGACTTCCTGAATCACAGAATAGCTTTCCATGCTTCCTAATGAATAGTTTGGGGTTGGGTTTTTTCCTCTTTTTCAGGTTTTGGTTTCCTTTTAGCAGATTTCTGCACTCAGAAGAATATGGGGTTTATTCCTCTTGCCCTGGATCAGACTCCAACACACTTTCTCCAAGCCTTGGGTTCTAGACGGGCTCCTAGAAGGGGCTTTAGCTCTTGCATAGGATGCAGTGGGACAGCAACCTCACTCGTATAGAAAGGCCATCTTGTAGACACGTCTAGGAACGGTATGCTGCTGCACACAGGGGTGATAGTGGCAGCTTTTTCCTCTCTTGTGCAGTAAGTGGAAACTTAACAGGGCTGGGTATCACAAAACCAGCAATGGAGCTGAGCAAGAGCATAGCCAGGAAGGACAGATCACAGGCAAGATGCCATCGTCAAATTAGCCACAATTTGGATGGGTTTGGAGGGGGATTTTTTGGCTCTTTGTAAAAATTGATCATTGTTCCTTTCTTCTCTGGGTGGATTTTTTCTTTTTTTTTTTTTTTTTTTTTTTGGTTTTTTTTTTTTTTTTTTTT